CACCACCATCATCATCATCATCATCATCATCATCATCAGCATTTGATTCTACGTCTCCCTCTTAGCAACACCGCCATCACCAGGGGTCACCTCGCTCGCCAATCAGGGACGAGACTTCGCCAGGGCAGTGCACTTAGACATACAGTGCGTGCGTTGCCAACGGCAGTAGTTAAGTGTACAGTTGCTTAAACATTATCACAGGAATCACCAGGACAATCGATGAAGTCGTGGCTATTAACAACGGAGTGCCGTCGATCATGTCATCATTGCACCAAGTACCAACATCTGCAATGAATACAACTGTTCGTTGTACTAGGTGCATAATCGCGTGGCAACAGCATTCAATGAGCATTGTAGCCAGCCCGAACACCCATTAACCACGCCGGTTACTGTCTCTGGTGACGGGAGCTATTGGAAGTCGCTCTTCCGCCCTCACTGAAAATTTATCTGAGCTGGGTGCCCACTACTTGGCTGTGCCACTGGAAACTTCCATCCTTCAAGAAGTCGACACATACAGTACGTAGCCTACCTCAAGAAACCTGATACGAAAATTTCTGGACGTCCATAACGTTGCGCATTTTGTTCGCCCATCCGCATTCTTCAATGAAATGACCTTTTCTTGTGAAGAAATTGTGTTTACGTAATTATATCAAGTAAAATATCGGTAAAGTTTAGCGAAAATGGACGTTGCAATATATTTGTGCAACCTCCTATGCTAATACACAGAGATCCGTCAGCGAAATGCAGTAATAAATCACTTCCAAGAGAGGTAATTTATTATGAAAGTTTTATTATTGATCAAAGGCATATTCGTTGCTGACTTTCTTTGTGGACAACTATTTTTCTCGAAAATGAAGTTTAATGTTTGAATGGGTCTTCATATGTGACCTAAACGACCATGCTCATGAAAAGGAGCGACCGGACACTCACTAATTCGGTGAATGCCTTCAAGAATAATCTTATTTTTAGGTTCTCAGTAAACAAGTAATTCAGAATATGCCTCTATGGACGATCGGATAAAAAACACTAAAAATCATGGAGCATTCAGCAACATTTCGAGGCCGATCTGAAACTCAACGTAATCCAAATCGATCGGAAAGAGTAAATGAATTTAACAAAGGAAAAGTTCTCTCTGTAAACACCAAATGATATGTTTAAGATCACGCCTGTTGATTCTATTTTAATTTGTAAGGCACCTATCGGCCTGACAGCAGGTCATCTTTTGAAAAATTTTGTTCCTACGACGTTTACATCGGTGAAGTCAAGTAAAATCCAGCTTCCCTTGTTGAAACCCATCTTATTTACTTCAAAGGAGTCAAGGATAACAGTAGCTCTGGAAAATGTTTTGGAATCTACACTCAGAATGTAGGCAGTTGACAAAACTTCATATATGAAATCGCACTAATTATTAAACGGCATTTAGATGTAAACTTTGCCGAAACACTATTATTAGACGTTAAGTTATTTCTACTTTCATGTTTACTACGTTTTTGGTATGAAAATTCATTCTATACATCTAAAACAAACTTTACTAAATTAGAGCCATTTTTGACGTTTTCGGGATATTGCACTTTTCAAAATAATTCGGCATTTTTAAACAACGCAACACTGCCTTTAATATTTCTTTTATGGTTTTAATTATTTTAAGCTTGTACTTAATTAACAAAGACATTAGACCCCTGAAATGGCGTCGGTTTGCGAGTGATTGACACTCATTCGTAAATTTTGACGCATTTCATGAATTAGGTCAATAACTATATGCGCAGGTACGCTTTCCGCGCACATGTCTGGAGTTAATATGTGCTGAAATGTGTTTGATGCAATTCGCTAATGAACACAGGGGGGGGGGGTGAAAGGATGTATTTAAACGTCGCAGTTGAATTATCGGATTGTTTCTTCAAGGTTATGCCTTGAGTGTTTATAAGTACTATCAGAGGACTGGCTAAGAGAAAACCCCATCTTATTAGTTCCTTAGCGAAGACGGTTCAAAACATATTTGCCAACGGGGACTAGACGAATCTTTGGGCAATGACAGAGGACTACTGTGACACCGGAAAGCAAGTCTCGCAAGCCGTGTGGTCCATTTTCCAAAGATTATAGACCGAGTATGTATCCCGTGGGCTGGTAGACAGGAGAAGGAGAACGACCTCTAGGACCTCCTCCTCCTCCTCCTCCTCCTCCTCCTCCTCCTCCTCCTCCTCCTCATCATCATCATCATCATCATCATCATCATCATCATCATCATCATCATCATCATCATCATCATCATCATCATCATCATCATCATCATCATCATCATCATCATCATCATCATCATCATCATCATCATCATCATCATCATCATCATCATCACCACCATCATCACCATCATCATCGTCGTCGTCGTCGTCGTCATCATCATCATCATCTTCTTCTTCTTCTTCTTCTTCTTCTACCCCTATCCACACCCCAGGAACTTTTTCCTTCACTTCCACTTCTCTTCCTTCCTCCTCTTCCTCTTCATTTTATTTTCGTTATTGTTCCTATTCTCTCCAATGGACAATGGAAGAGTGAAATACGCAGACGTGGGAGGGGCCGCAGGCACATACATTGTTCAAAAACTTTTGCATGTCCTGAATGCTTGCAGACTTGATACATGTACCAATACGTTACTGTGAGAAGGCACGCTGACGCAGACTCAAAGTATCGCAACATCGCCGAACAAATTGGACTGATTCATCCACGCGACAACGAAATTCGATGGCCCTCGAGGGGCAAGCACTTTGAACGGACTATCTACAAATAAACCCATCAAAAGTGTGCCCAAAATAAGTTATTTTCCGGAAAGTCACTTTCAAGAACAGCTAGGAGTGCATGAGCCAATAGCTTTCTGGCAATCCTTCACAGTTAAATGGCTTAATAGATGTTAACATTGAAGTTCACTCAAAATAGATTCATCTAATCCAGTCGTGAAAAACTCGCCGGCTTCGGTGGGATTCTAACCGGCGACAGTACAGCCAGTGCTACCTGAGCTACGACGTACCACTGGGGCGCCGTTAGTTTAGTCAAAATTACTACTCCCGAGTTCAAGAGTAAGCTAAGGCGAGCTTTATCCTAGAACTCTAAGAAGAACATAATCTAATTACCCTCACTTGCGCGCCGTCTGCCCCTTTACAGGCTGCGGTAAGACTGCAATACAACCACTGCCAAAACACATGCCTACTTGGATGCTGTAAACATTCCTTGGATGGACGGCTGCATTTGTTTATCGACCTTTTAGCACGCTCACCGTATATGTTTTCTTAGACCACAGTGGTTCAGCGAACATTTGGCTGTCTACTCCGAGAATGATGCATTCGATAGTATGCCCACCCCCTACTTATTTGCTTGGTGTCCACTTATGGCATAAAATCCCGGAGAAATGAAATGCGCAAACTTCGTACGGCGAAATAACGGAGATTTTCTTCTATTGGTGTGGGACAAAATTTAATCGCGATGAGGTACACTTTTACTAGCAGGGTGCAATATGCAAGCTATTTCGGACTTTGTAGGAAACGCACAGTTTAAAAAGACGCACATTATTGTGGGATGGTACTAATAAGGGTTGGTTCCACTGGTCCCGTTCTTGCAGGTATTATGAACTGCATTAAACGAGGATGATGGGGCGGATTTTGGGGGTTTCAGCTTTCACTGTATGTTTTGCGGCCTGGGATGCAATACACCCATATAGCGATTGCAACCATGTGTTATTTCTTCAGCGTATGTCTGCAAATAGTGTTCTTCAAGGCTCCGACTACCTCCGTTATAAGTGGGCTAACTCATTAAATGTCAACCTGCATTCCGAAATGCGTCTTCGTTTCGAAAAGATTAATTAAATAGGGTTGTAAAACTAGGCATAATTCTATAGTAATTCAGTTAGCTCTGGATGCCGGCTTTCGAAAGAACTTCTTTCCGGCTGCATGCAAAAACTATCCTTTGTAAAAGTGACTACTTAAGATACATGCATTGTTTCATTGATTTTTAATTCTCTTAAAAATTCAATTACAGTACATAGGAACATGTGTAAAATATTTATTTGTTTATTCATTCTGTAGAAAATTAAGTCTTCTTCCAATTTTATACTCGAAGGAAGAGTACAGTTCGGTATTTTAGAGGTTTCTAGTTGTGAGCTTTTTAATACCGTTAAGTGTCCGTTCATAAAACGTCGTGTCTCTGTATTTACCAAGGTGGCTTGTAAAGTCAACAATGTGGCTCAAATCCACTGTTACATTTTATGAATCCTACATGATCTTCTCTCACAACCATAGAGAAATATACGGTTTTCTGTACGCGAAAAATATACAACTTGTAGTTTGGAAACCCTGAATGCAAATGTAACGGCAGGTCGGGTTCAAAACTGTTCGGCATTGTAAAAGTTTTTTAAAACCGAATTATACCCTTCCTTCGAGTATAAAATTGAAAGGAAACGTTATTTTCTACTGAATGCGCAAAAGAATGAATGTTTTTACGCATGTTTTCAACGAAATATATTTGAATTTTCCAAAGCATTGAAAATCAATAAAAAATGCGTGCTACATAAGCAGTCAGTTTTTGCAGAGTACAGTTCTTCTATGCAGTCGAAGATAGGTTCATTCGAAAGTCAGCATCCTGAGGTAACTGGATCATTATCGAATTATGCTGCAAGGTGAGGAGTGTTACAACCCTACCTGATTCATTTTTTCGAGACAAAAACGCATTTCGGAATCTCGGTTGATACTTCGCGAGTTAGCCCACCTACAGTATACAATGAATTAATTGATTTCAGGGTTTGTGGCTTGTTATATTTTAGTCTGAACCGGCCACTTAGTTGTGTACACATCAAGGTTTGTGAGCCGGATTCCTAATTTGACCACCACAGCACTTGAAAGTCCTATTAAGTGGGACGGGAATCCTGAAAAAATGGGACTCGTCCGCCTGTCCTCCCTCTCCTTCTCCATCCCTGACGGCGTTGCGACGACTCGCACGCGACCTTACCCAAGGCCCTTAGCGGAGAGGGACACCGCACCTGCCGATGAGGGAGCCACGCGCCACTGTACCGCTCTCAGGACGTATGCAGTCGACGGAAGCGCAGAAAAGAAGACGAGGCATGAAACAAAGAACGATTTTGTGCGCAGAACACTCGAAGGCAACAAGGGGGTCGTAGAGAAAAAAAACGCCTAAGGTCTTTGTTTAATGTACGTACAGTACCTGTCACCTCCTCTCACCATCCTTCTCTCGCATTTTTTTCTCCTTAGAGGATGGTGCCTTACCCATACGCTCGGTGGGCTGCGGATGAAAACTTTTCAAGGTCGTTTGGCGTCAAGGTCACCTACTCAGTGCGGAAGTGTCTCCCAGGTAGGCAGCGCATAGTGCGGAGAGGGGATTATTAGGCACTGGTACTACTAGTTAAGTATGTTGCGCAGTTAGTTCCAGGGGGTAAGAATGGCTTATAACAACCTCCCACCTACCCAGAATTCGTGCATAATAATAAACATTTTTTAGTAAAGACCCGTCGGGGTCCCATCAAAGCAAGTAAAAATAAATGTACATGCGAATTTTAGACGAGGTAGGCAGAATCTGTACAAAATGCAATTCATAGTTTCTGAATTAGTAGTCCGTTGAGAAAAATGACTGGCGAGATGTGAAAAAAACTCCACTGAAAAATTTAAAAATGATTGGATTAATTTTACAGGAGAAAAAACCCCTCGATAAAAAATAATAACAGAAAAATGAGGGCAGGACTGGCTTGTAGGTGGCGGTATATAACGGATTATAACCGGACATCGTTAGGGCAGAAATAAATGTCAGCCTTGAGGGGTACGTATGCGGGTCGGACAGGACTGGCCTGCATGTGGTATTATATACGGGATTCGTCTGGGAAGGATTGATACGCCGGATGAGACTATTCGCGTCAAAGAGGCCAGAAGAGAGGAACCCAGACGCGATCGATCACAGTACACTCGGAGCCCAGCCGAGGAGTGGGGAAGGGAGGCACGACCAAACTACTAGTAAACGACGAATACTGAGATTCCGCCGTGAGTTTTGACAGACTGCATGAGGTCGGAATGAGGGAGATGACATCAAAAACCGCGAAAATTGTTGCCATGCGGGAGGAGTGACAGCAGTGGATTTAGAAACCAATCCAAAATAGGGGGTTTCTAATGATATAATTAAGAGTTACCACTTGATCTACCACTAAATCCCAGGAGGACCCTTCTCGAAGTCAAGAATCTAAACGTTTGGGGATGAGACCGTTAAAAGTACCTTTACGCTATCGGGTGTAAGATTTTGGCGTAATTTCGACTTGAATACCAGTACTTTAGGCGATGACCTAATTTCTGGCGGAAGATTATTCCAAAGGAAAGCATATTTGGAAGCAAAGAAGAGGAAGCGCTAAGATGTAGTGCAAAGAGGCGGCCGAATCACCATGCAGGAGTTGCGCGTGGCATAAGACCGACCTCTCGGAGTGAGAGTGTCAATGAGCGGAAGATTGGACTTGGAGTTAATGAGAAAAAGGAAGCAAAGGCCAGCTTCGAGTTGTCTAACCCTCAAAAACTTAATGTTTGCCAGCTGACATCTCTGAGTATAAGAAAAGCTGGGGAGACTTGAGAGAACAGTTTCTGGGTGAAAATCCTCTGAACATTTTCGATCTTATAGCGGTCGCAGGCGTTCGTTAAACCAAAGAAAGGACAGCAGTATTCGAGAACTGGAAGAACAAACATTTGATAAAGTGTCAGCTTCATTTCCGGAAGGAAAAATTATGCTGTATGAATCCACATATCTGCGCGGTTTGGCAGAGAGTCGATCTGCATGAGGCGATAAAGCAAGCTTAGTTGTACAAGTTAGGCCTAGGTCCTTTATGGTGAAGCATTTTGAGCGTGGGTTATTCTGAAAAAATATGGGACCAGGGAGTTTGGCAGGATAAAACGACATGAAACTACACTTGGAATAATGAAAACTTCATTTGCCATGTTGAACCCCATCTGCTTAAGCGTAGAAAATCGGAATTAATTTTTCCCACACAAACGTTTGCGGCGTCCTTAGAATATGAGTAAACATACTTGAGGTCATCGGCATAAATAAAAGTTTGCGAATTTCCGATTTCAGCCGAAATATCATCGATGTAAAGAAGGATGAGTAGCGGAACAGAACCGTACCTTGAAGTACGCCACTCGTGATCGAGTGAGATATCGAGTAGCTATTACCGTCTATCGCTTTTTGATATCGGTTGGACAGATAGAACCTGATGAAGTCGAGTAGAGGTGGCCGGATGCCGAGAGCTTCCAATGCTACTAAAAGACGTCTATGGGGCACCTTGCCAAAGGCTTTGCTAAGTTCAAAGTAGATAACTACCACTGACTGCCGCTCATTATGAAGAGAAGTGATTAGATTAAGAAATGCCAAATGGCAAGTTTCGCAGGATCATTCAGATAAAAATCAATGCTGACTAGATCTCAGAAGCCGACTAGCTAGACAGAGGTCAAGAATTTCATTGAAAATAATCCTTTCACGTTTACGGTCTGCCCGCAGAAGATTTTGAGCGGCTTTCCGCCAGTTCGACAGTTGACTTCCATTTCCAGTAGCTAATCAGGCAACTGGCTATAGGCATGGCATGTTTAAAAAGGATCCGCGCGCGTCCCTAACCTCTTTTGTTTTCATCTTAATGTGGGGGAAATCAGGAGTTAGCTATCCGTCACACGCGCCAGTATTTCGCTGTGGAAATGACATTATCGCGAATGGGGACGAAAGTTCGAGTTCCAGAGGTTTGTATCAGCAAACAAGAAGACTAATCGAGCGCCGGAACAGTTTGTTAATAGTATTGACCAAAGCCTAGGCCCCCGATGAGAACTCAGCCAATCAATATATCGATTAGAAGCCGATATGCAGAGACTTTCGTAGTCACCTCCAGGCCTGCATCACTGATTGCTAATTGGTATGCGAGCCCTATTAATGTCGCCTATTCTGCTGCGGTATTTGTCTGAAGGAGTTCGAAAATTCAGACTGATAAACAAACTGTTCCGATGCTTGACCAGTTTTCTTCTTGACTTATCATCCTCATGAATCCTTCTGGACATATTATTTTCTAGATGTTCACCCTAGTCCTTATCTACAATGCCTTTTAAAAGTCGTTAAAGTTGGAGAGGCCAACCCACAATTCCTGATGATGTTGCGGCGGTTGCTGGGCTGAAGGTACTATGAATGGAGGCGATTGTTCGGATCTCAGATGTTCGCATGAGTAAGGGAGTAAAAGGCTGGTCATGCATCGGAGCGGTTTGTTTATTTGTCTGAATTTTCAAACCCGTTCAGACAAATTCGGAGGCAAATAACGCAAAAGAACGGGCGAAATTAAAAAGGATTTTTTGCCAATCAACCATCAGTGAAGAAGGCGATGAGGGGACTGAGAAGGTCCCTGAATGTCGGCATAAAATCTATACATCGATTGACTGAGTTCTCAGCAGAGGCGCAGGCCTCCATCAATTCCCAGTCTGTATTGATTCCGGAGTGGGCGATTATCTTACCGGCTGCAACGTTAAACCAGTTATCCGTTTCGAGGACGTAGACAGTCACTTGCGATAATTCGTCCCCCTATCGTACAGCCAGTTTACGCTCGTGTATGTGTAATCCGGACATGCGTTCAGTTTGACCTATGTAATTACAAGCTCATTTAAGGCTCAGGATCCGACATCCTATGTCTGATTGTTTCCTCTATTTAATCGGTCTTTGATCTTCATGACCTTGATGTGCATGTTGGCTTTGGGTGGGCGGGTAATACCAACACCTAATTCAGCGGTACCGTACTCGGTCGCCTCCTGAAACATACTTTATATATGGCAAAGCATGCCATATCGTTGGTGTTTCTTGCGAGGTCTTCAGGAGCGAACACCTAGAAGCCAGCATACTACTACTACTACTGCTACTACTACTACTTCTACTACCACTACTACTACTACTACTACTACTACTACTACCACCACCACCACCACCACCACCACCACCACTACTACTACTATTACCACCACCACCGCTGCCGTTGACTTTTATTTGTATCATGTCCTCACACATTACCAAACAATCGGTACTGGCTAAATAATGATCGTGAAAAAGGAGGCAAAATCGCCGGAGCAAGAGTTTTATTGGCCTGAAATGTCTGATTCTTGTTCGGACTCATAACCAGAGACAATAGCAGATACGGGTAGGTCCGTGCAGGAGTCCGAAACCTCAGACGAATAGAACTCTTGTTTCAACGGTTGTGTCTCCTTCACAACTGACTCCTGGGACTCGTCTGTTCGTCTCTGTTGAGTAATGATCGTTAAGTAGTGGGGTGGTGAGAGAGGAAATCAAAAGCGCAGCAGTTCTCTTTAAAATTAAAACTTTTTATGAAGTTGTCTCGACTGCTGCGTTCACTCTTTCCACCTCGCAACCTAAAGAAATATCAATTGTAGTCTAAGGGTATACTGCGGAAACAGTTAGCGAAACTACGTCTGCCAACCAGGAAGAGAGTTTAAGACGCAATTACATGATCGCCAATTAAGAGGAGAACGCATAGAACAAAATTCTCCGGATGCTTTCTCTGTTGATGGTGGTGATCCCATAGTCAGTCTTTGTAGGAACTCAAACGGGGGCGGTTCCATCAAACCGGCTCTTCACGCTATTCCCTTCAACTGTCTAGCTCGTAGCCAACGACGTCAACGCAATTCTTGGAGAAACCTAAAGGAGTAAGTCTCTTGACATGCGATGTCATGGTTTCCTTTGATGTCACGTCCCTTTTAACTTCTATCCCGCAGGACCTGGCAGTCGAGAACATCGAACTACTCCTACGAGAGAAATACGGTAAAACGGAGAATCGCCTCGGACACGCCCAAATCATCCAGCTCCTGAAGTTCTGTCTGAAGACGTACTTCGCGTTCGACGGAACAGTCTACAAGCAGGTGAAGGGAACTCCAATAGGTTCACTGATTTCAGGACTCATAGCGGAGGCGGTCCTACAAAGGCTGGAGTCGCTGGTTTTCCGATACCACAGACCGAAATTCTGAGCTCGGTATGTGGATGACACCTTTGTCGTCATCGAACGAGATCATGTGCCGACATTCAAAGAACATCTCGACGCCGTCTTCCCGGACATTCGATTTACGATTGAGCAGAAGGAAAACAACCAGCTGGCCTTCCTGGATGTCCACGTGGGCCGCAAAGACTGTGGTGGCCTAAAACCCAAGTGTTCTGGAAAGCGAAAAATACGACGCAAATACTGAACTTCAATAGCAACCACCCAATAAGTCACAAACGCAGTTGCGTAAGGGCGCTATACCGGCGCGTTGAGAGGCACTGCAGTGAAATGGAAGAGAAAATTGCTGAATTACAATATCTTCGATGAGAGCCAACGGCTACCAGTGTATACGAAAAGGACACCAGAGACCAAAGCCCACCGCCCCAAATTTTGGCGGGCCTTTCCATACGTGAATAACGTCTCGGAAGCTGTCGGCCGCCTTCTCGCATCACTTAGGGTTGGAGTTGCACACAGACCGGAAGCAACCATTAGCCGCCAAGTCATGAGGCTGAAAGACCCACTGCCACGGCAGGAAACGTCTGGAGTCGTTTACCGGATCTGGTGCAGTTGCGGACAAAGCAACTACGTCGGAGAAAGTGGGAGATACTCCGTATGCAAATCGCCGAGCACGCAGCAGCAGTGAGGTGGGCAGACGCTAGCTCTCAGGTGGCGGCCATATTTTCAAGTTTCAAGAGGCCGAAATACTCGTAAGGGGTGACAACCGTGTGAGCCGCGAGCTGCTGAGTCATGGTTCTGGGGCCCGCAATCAATCAAGAAGTGCAATGACCTCCCGGTACCATATTCAGTGTTGAGATTTTCCCTGGGCAGGGAAATCAGTCACGTGGGGAGGGTGCGGGCGAGCAATTATCCCTGTGACAGTGGGCCAATTTGCCGAACAAGTGTCACACCAGCACCCAACACGGATGACGAAATCACGGCCATTAACGACTCGGACCCGGACTGACAAACCACCACCGCATCAATTACGACCCAAGCGGTGATTGCGAGAGCTGCTAATTTCACTGCGCATACGGTCCCACGGCAGCCACGTTCTATAAATACTGCACTCCTTGTGCCATCATTACCCTTATCTGCGACCGTCTCTGATGATGAATCCGAGTACGAATCCGAAACTTCATGCCAATAAGTTTCTTGTTCCAGTGATCACATCTTCGTCCTCTGAACTGCTACCTGGAACTCGCTTGTTCGCTTCTATCAGCCAGTCTATTGTCTGTCAGTACATTAGAGGAACTTCCAGCATCCTTTGCCGCGTATGCTGGAGATTTGGAAAGCACTGCCAAGTTACCTAACCAGTGAAGAGCTAAGGGTCGCACTCTGCCTTCTGCTTTCTTTAACATTAATTCCGAAACCAGCGTCTAACGATTTGGTTTTACTGACGCACAAGATAGGATCTCTTTGCTCCCCAGACGAGGCCGATTCAAAAGTTCCTTGATATAGAAAGCCCCCACTTATAGAAGTCAAGCGGAGGAAGAGATGTATATGCAAGTCATATATTCGTCCTTATCTCTTAAGATTGATTAAATTGAGAAAGACCTGAGTATGAATAAAATATGGACAAGTCAAGAAAACAGAAATATTTGAGTAGATCGTTTTCACCCGTAATGTAATGCATTTCAGCAGAGTATCTGGAAGGGTCACACCGTGTGATCTGCGTGTTCGAGCATGCGAACACGGCCGGACCGGAGAAAGGAAAGAGGGCAGGCTGGAAGTATGCTACCGGGGGAACAGGAGCTAAACAAGTGTGAATTTTTCGAGTTTGTTCTGTCCAACCTGAATCATAGTCTTATATGGTTCCCAATGTGTGGGGTCAGAGTTGGAGGGTACAACCACCGTCGGTGGAGAACCGTTTCCCTCCTCTTCATCCTCCTCGCCCTCAGTAGTTGTTTTACTGGCAGTCTGATCCCCCGTTTTGCTCATCTGCTCCCCAACCGCCTCGGTTCTGTCCTGCAAGGACTGACCCGTTCTCAGTGGCCGGACGTAGAGTTTACTCTTGACCGTGGTACTCCATGGGCTCTCTGTGTCCGACATGGAGCTCACATGGCTAGTATTTGGCGTCAGGAATCCGGACTCTGTCTTCTGAGGCCCGGTGGTGGAGGCAGCATCGGTCAACAAGACCATCGGGGGTGGGGGCAGGGGACATGTGAAACCACCGTAGATTGAATGATCCAGGGACGCCCGGCGTTCGTGGTGGTCACCTACGGGACTCCTAACTCCCCAGTGTTGCGGAGGATAGGGTGGACTGCTACATGTGGGTGAGCTCGTTGAAGGACCAGTTGAGGACATGGCGGGCTGGTCGATCTTCTCGTCGGCATTGAGATCTGTGGCTCCGCTCAGACTGCCACCCTTTCCGCTGCTCCACTCCGAACCGGAACTCGGGCCGCGCCCAGAATCGCGGTCCTCAATCTCGTAGGCAGCTGCAGCGATTGAGGCGCCAGATCCGAACACCGTCTTATTTGCCTGCTGGACATTCGGATCCACCCCCGTGGCAGTTGCAGCAACTGAGGCGGGAGCTGGGTAGACTCGTAGTTGGGAGTGCTCAGATATACTCACTGACTCGGACACTATCGCGCAGCCCACATCTGATCGAAACTGCTGTGAGGTTGTCATGAAGGCTGTACAATCGCTGTGATGGGAGACAGTATCATGGCTGATGCGACGAGGACTTAGACGCACTAAGGCCTCCTGCACCGGTGTTCTTCGCATCTGGTCGTTGGGTAGGCGGCAGATGTAGCGCGGGACAAACCCGATTGGGCCGGTGCCCGTGCGATGGTCAGAGCACCACTTTTGAGCTAATAACCAACCGGAGGCGGGCGGCGAGGCTGTTGAGGCGGTGCTGAGGTCAGGATTGGTGCCGGGATATGGAATGATTCGTAGGTACTCACCCTGTCGCGCCGTAATGACCTTGTACTTTTCCATCCATTCAGTAGTGGGGGAGAAGCTCTCTGTCACCAATGCCAGGGGATTGGGAAGGTACTCCATCTTCGGCATTGGTCGTCGCACCAGAGGTAGTTGTTGTGTGGGACATCTCTGAGCCTTTGGGAACCCTGTCAGTGGAAGAACTTGCGGACGGCTGAAGGAGTTGCTGCGCATAGGTGAAGCGGTGGAAACCGGGTTTAACTGCATGAGCGGCAGCCGATTAAGTTGTGGTGTTTGCTGTGCGCTGGAGATTTGCATGACGGGCACACGAGCCAGCTGTTTCGTGGCGTAACTCCCGGCGCTATTGACAGAGGTCCGCTTCAACTGCGGCGTCTGGATTGGCGTTGCGCTACCCAGACTCCCTCCAGCGGTCGCCTCGAGTTTAAGTGCCCGTGCCATCCAACTGAAGTCGGACTCGTTGTCCGGATCGCTGAGACTGCTGCTGCTACTACTGCTGCTCGATATGGCGCTAAATACCGGCTCCACAGGGCTTCGGCGATGCTTCCTGCGGTGCGATGAACCGCTGGCACCTCTTTCAGAATATTTGCCACCCCGTTCGCAACGCTTTGAAGAAGAAGAAGAAGGACCGTAGTCGGGAGGCTGCCGGTATCTCTCGGTCTTGTCGTTCGACCGACCTACCATGTCCAGACTGGAGGCTGAGGATGTCGAAGTGGTTGGCGAGCTATCTGAGGAGGCAGAAAGACTGCCGGAGTTCGTCATGGTGGCGGGTCGTCTGCGAGAGGGCGACGATGCACGATGATGACGATGCTGGTGGTGGTGGCGGTGGCTGCGGATGCTGCTTGAGTTCGAGGCGTCCCATTCGTCACTGGTGTCGATGGCGTCCTCCTCGTCTCCGGTGGATTCCGCAGATATCCACTGGCATTCCGCAGCACGGGCAATCATTGACAGAGTGAGGTTCTCCGTCCCAGCACAGATTGAACTGCCCTTTTTACCCCGTCGGTACTTGGCTAGGTCGCCCTTTAGGGAGGCCGGTGGCGAAGGGCTGGCAGAGGCCTGCCACACTTGTGTGGGCTGAATAGACTCGAAGGTCACCACTGTGGAGCAGGATCGTCTCGAGGAGGCACTTCTCGTACGTGATGCCATTTCCTCTTCGGGCGCCCGGCTGCAGCTAGCAGCACCGAGTAGGGTAGCCTTTTTGTGAGATTTTTTGTGTTTCACGCGACAGGCTGCCCCACCACCGCTTGAGGCGGCGGAGGAGGAGGAGGAGGGACACTTGTCCGCGCCGGCGTCGGTGTTGGCCGTCTTCACGGTGGAGTCTGCCTCCTTCGTGGCACCCTCAGCCGCCTCGACGAGGACTTTGGGTTTGGCCTTGGATTTCCTTGTCAGTGCGTTCAACATGACCTGCGTGGCAGGTATTGCAGCGAATGAGTAGCTGCTGAAATAGAAGGGCATCAGAGGAAGTAGATTAAAAAGTATTCTAGCAAGGGACAAAGAATAAAGTACTCTGTTATCGGCCAGGGAGTGTAATTCATTCATAACACATCAGTGACATGTGACGTGTCCGTTGAATAAGACTTTAAGTCAATTAGATGGTGGGGATATACTCTGTGTCATACGGAAATAGTAACTGTGTCCCACGTTCATGGCAGTTAAGAAAGTAGATGCCGCAGTGCTCGGTTTAACTTACTCCTACCGTTTCACCCTCCACAACTTGAAGGGGTGATTAAGTACCAAAAAGGGTCATCTTCGCCGAAGGCCATTGTGGCCACGCAGTACACCCCGAAGCTCTTGAAACATCCCCGGATCGATAATATTAGACAATCGCGAATGTCGAAAGTCTTCCAGATTGGTGATGAATAGTGCGTCTGGCGCTCAAAAAAGCTGTCGATGAGAAAGCAACTGCCAGTTTCAGAAAGCAGTTGAGCAGAACAAGAGGGAGACGCGATCGTCGGAGCAAAACTGTCATTCGCCCGGCATTTCAGATTCAAGCCTTCATCTGCCACAGTCTCGGATGTTAAGTTAAACTAATGAAATTGAAATTCCGGAGATAGATTTACCTTCTTCTCTATCCTTTGTATTCTTAACGTCACTCCTGATACAGTAAATGAGCTATCTCAAGAAATATTAACTGAAATTCTAAAATGTGTTTTTAATTCGGAAAGAGCACTTAAGTGGGCTTGTCACATTAACCACCTTGTCGCATTATGCCAAAATAGTTCAGTTACGACAGAATTCCGGCTTTCGAACGAGCTCCCTATCGACCACCTGCGTAAGCCATGTTTCGTAAAAAGTGACTACTTAAGTAGCATAAATTTTATCTATTGACTTTTGATACCGTTGTAAATTTAAATACATTTTATAGAAAACATGCATAAAAATATCTTTTCGTGTATTCATTTGGTAGAAAATGAAATTTTCGAGATTTATATTTTAGGAAAGAGTATGTTGCAGTTTTAAAAAGTTTTCTATTTTAAGATTTTTCAAGACTTGAATTGGTAGAAAATTAGGTCTTTAAGTTTTTTATTTGAAGAAAGAGCATTTTCGACTGTAAAAGTTTCTTTATAAGATTTAAAAGATTTTTTAATAAGATTTTTCAAGACGTGAAGTGTCTAGTAGTGCATCATCGCATCAGCATATTTTTTAATGATGTTTATAAAGTGGAAGTCGTGTTCTATCTACATTCCAAAATGTTATGAACCCCACATGTCCTCTTTATAAGCGAATATTAAAATGCTTGATTTTCCTTGCACAGCAGGCATTCAACTTGTAGCTCTAAAACCCTGAATGCAAATGTGACGGCAAACCGGATTCAAAATTATACAGGAATTAGAAACGTTTTTATAAAATAGACAGATATTCTTTTTTTGAGCCTAAAATTTGAAAACAAAACGTAATTTACTACCAAATGAGGGAAAGAGAGAGTATTTTTGTAAGCGTTTTCTATGGAAAATATGTGAATTTATAAGGGCAGAGAAAATTGACGAAAAATTTCATATTATTTGTGAAATCATTTTTTGCGAAACTTGGTTCAAGCAGGCGGTCGATAAGGAGCTCCTTCAAAACCAAGCATCCTGAAGTGATTGAAATGTTTTAGCATTATACGACATGATTACTGGTATTGCAACCTCAATTAAGTACTCTTTTCGAATTGAAAACACATTCCAGAATTTCAGTTGACATTTTTTTGAGATAGCACAACGATGGACGCCGCCTGGGGGGCTAACCCATGGTTTAATTGTGGAGGGTTTGACTTAGATTTTTAACAACTAAGACGAATGAACCTGAACTGACCATTCCAATCTCTTCCTCTGAGGTTTTGTCGGTGACTTTCTCCATTATATAGCACTAGTTAGGATTTTTAATTGTTCTTTCAAATAAAGAAAAATGCAAAGATGAAGGAGTAGCATGCAAGGGTGGCGAGGCGAAGCTCAGCTTAATTGAATACAAATCATCAGGCAAACTGACTTCAATTTGAGAATCCCTAGTAATCTTTCCCTTGAAGGCCCAACTATTTCAGCACTATCTGTTTATTCAGCGAATTTTCGACTTGCATGTAAACTAAACTGCTAGTCTAAGAAAGAATAGTAGCATTTTCCTGAAGAATACTTCACAATGACAAAGAACAAAATGTAGGCAGCCCTCATGGCTGTGGCAGACAGGGATGAACTGCGAACGCTCAAAGCGGATACTCAAGCATTAAGCTATGACTGCTACATTTGTGGGTTGATTACTATTCGCCTTGGTCTCACCTCACAGTATATGCTGCCGCGAAAAGCGCCAAACTCTGCCTAGTTCCTCTGGCGAATTGAGTGTCTCCTCCAAGCGTTTAGTATTTGAACCAAGGAAGTATTACAACTTAAAAAATTCGCACGCGGGAAACTCTTTAAAGCATTTAGTGAAATGTAACTTGCTCGAATATCTTTATACCTCAATGGAGAAACATAGAAGGATCTTTCAAAAAAAATAAATATACAGACGTTTTGGTGTTTTACGAGCATGTAAAGATTCAGCGACATCTAAAAAATATGGGGATGTGTTTTTCGAGTAGCATCTACCTTATGAAACTAAATCTGAAAATAAACAACTAAAGACTAAAGGCCAAAGAAAGGTTGGCATCAACTATTCTCATCGGTTTTCGATGCCCCTAAATGTCCAATTATATTTTATAGAAAACCTGCATAAGCGTATTTATTCCTTGGATCATTCGGTAGGAAACGACGCCTTCTTCCAGTTTTGTAATCAACGGATGGGTATAATTCCGTTTTCAAAAAATTATCCAATTCTCGAATACTTATGAACCCAGTCTGCCGTTACACTTTCATTCAGGGTTTCGAAACTGCAAGCCGTATATCTTCCGCGTACGGAAAACCATTCATTTCTATACGGTATCAAGAGAAAACCATAGGGGGTTCATAAAATTTAGCAGTGGATTTGAACAATATTATTACCTTCATAAGCTACATCGGTAAATGCAGGGAAATGACGTTTCATGAACGGCAAATTGTGCGTCTCTTCCAGGGTTTTAGTATTTGAACCAAGAAAGTATTACAACTTGAAAAAAGTCGCACTCAGATGAAGCCAATTCTGCATGCTTATGAAGAATTCAGTGCGATTGATACAATTTTTGGTATCTGAAGACAGATAAACAAACCGATGACAGTTCAAACGTCGATTCCGACGATGCCTACAGTGTCCTACACAACAAGGTGCAGCAAACACAGTGACTTGCGTGTGAATTAGTGATAGTAGACTTGCACAGCACTATCCGCACTCTCTCCTCCTCCCCACCTAGATCGGGTGTCAAGGCAGAGTCAAGAAAACAAGAGACAGGGAAGGGCGCAGGAGTAAACAAACCAGATAGGTGATATTTCAAGCTCTTATAAATCCGAGTCTCTCACACTCAATCCCAGGTCTGGGCGATTTGGGATTCAAACCCAGCCTCGAGCGTACCAGTCAGAAATGAAACCCAAAGATTTCAGTCTCGCGCAAACACATGTTCTTGTTATTTTGCTAAAGAAAAGCAAAATTTGTTAGGCGAATAACGTCATTTCCTCACAGGAAGACTATTTCCTGGGTTAATAAAAACCGTTGACCAGTTCAATTTGTCTGCCCACACTCCTGTTTGGAGGAAATTAGCCCACGTGATTAGTCCTTACATGAACGCTCTTCGCGGACTCGAAAACCGATTTTCATGTACGCTTAAATCAAGTGAGACACGGTGTTCAGAAGTCACCTTCTTTTTAAGTTAGTCAAAGAGCATTCAACTTTGGAAGTGCTTTTTTCTAAATTGTGAATTTGACCACCCTAAAACTGGTTAATAACTCGAAAAGAATGGTTTTTATTTTACCGTCTTGCCACATTCTTCACACGAACGTATGAACCGGAAGCAGTTGTGAAATCGTGCGTGAAAACTACGCAGGGCTGACTAGAAGACACTTTATAAATGCGTTTTCAAACAGCCTTTTTACAGTCACACGTGTCTTAGAAATGACCGGAGTGCTAAGGGAATTGTTCGAGAAACGCGTTGATGTCTGCATGGTCACCCTGCCACATGATCAGTGTAATTAAACAAAGATGATTATCGGGTTTCTTACAGTAGATGCGATAACTCATGCAAATGTTGGCCGAAATTCTAAAATGCGTTTTCGACTCGAAAGAATTACTTAAGTAGGGTTGTTATATTAATCATTGCGGAGTACACTCTCAAGATAATTTGGTTGCTTTAGGATACCATCTTTTGAACGAACTTACTTACAGCCGCCTGCAAAAACTGTACTCTGTAAAAAACGACTACCTATGCAGTATAAATTTTTCTTATTGATTTTTGATGCTCCTCTAGGTTAAAACATAGTTCATGGAAAACGTGCAGAAAACTATGCATTTTGTGATCATTCTATAGAAAATTACGTACCCTTTAAATTTTATACTTGAAAAATGCTGTGATTCGGTTTTAAAAAACTCTTCCAATCCCCGAATAATTTTAACCACGACCTGCCTTTACATAAGCATTCATGTTGTTTTATTTACCGTGTATGAAAATTCATGCATTTCAACACATTATTAAGAGGAGACCATATCCGTTTCTTAAAGTTTGACAATGGATTTCAGCCATATTGCAAACATTACAGGCAACATTAGAAAATGCAGAGACACGATGTCTTATGAGCGGGCATTTCAAGGTCTTGAAAAATCTCGTAATTAGAAACATCTACAAAACCGAATTACTCCCTTTCTTCGAGCAGAAAGTATGAAGAACACGTAATGTTTCACCGAACGAGCAAAATAATGCATGGTTTTATGCATGTTTTCCATGAAATGCATTCGGATTCATAAGGGTATAGAAAGGCAATGAGAAAAATGCATGCTAAATAAATAGTCATTTTTACAGAGTGCGGTTTTACAGGCGGCCGGCAGGAGCTTTGTTCAAAAGTTGGCATGCTGAAGTAACCGAA